CCCAAGATATCTGAAAGAAACTGGAACAAAGGACAGTAACTACAGGGGGTGTGAGTGATTGCTGGATCCAGACTAGCAGGAGACTAGTCTGTAAAAGGAAGCTTACTGGAACTGGTGAGGTTTTATTTGTGTTCAGTTTCCTTAGACATAGACTTGCATGTTTTATTTTATTTTACTTGGTAATTCACTTTGTTCTGTCTGTTACTACTTGGGACCACTTAAATCCTACTTTCTGTATTTAATAAAATCACTTTTTACTTATTAATTAACCCAGAATATGTATTAATACCTGGAAGTGTGGAGCTGTGCATATCTCTCTATCAGTGTTATAGAGGGCAAACAATTTATGAGTTTACCCTGTATAACCTTTATACAGGGTAAAATGGATTTATTTGGGGTTTGGACCCCATTGGGAGTTGGGCATCTGAGTGTTAAAGACAGGAACACTTCTGTAAGCTACTTTCAGGTTAAGTCTGCAGTTTTCGGGCACGTGGTTGAGACCCTGGGTGGGTCCGTGTTGGAGCAGACTGGCGTGTCTGGCTCAGCAAGACAGGGTGCTGGAGTCCCGAACTGGCAGGGAAGCAGGGGCAGTAGTAGTCTTGGCACATCAGTTGGCAGTTCCCAAGGGGGTTTCTGTGAGTCAACCCGTCACACACTCAGGTTGTAAACTTCAGTATATTTAGAGATATGCCAAGCTGAGAAATTTAGGAATTCAAAGTGAAGTGTCCAAATATAGACCTAGATATTGGAAGTTATCAACTGCATTGAGGTGGCCAAACACTATTATAACCCTGATACTATTACTCTTTTCCAGTTCTATCACTGTTCTTAATCCACTTCATATTTCTTCTTTTCTACATGCCTTTGCAAAATGAGAGGATTAAAAATGTGTGCCAGAAATAAGGAGAATGGATTTAGAGCAAATGTCAAGGCTACCCATGCCATCAATACTTATTTTTCATTAGCTTTACTGTTGACAAGTAATTCATTAACTTCATGAGCTTGAGTACAGGTCAAGCTAATTTTAGCACTAACTAAGGCAAAGTTTGTCAGTACGGAATTTTTTTTAGAATTTAACATTTTTATTTAAGGTGGGTGAAGTTTCAAACCTATCCTAACAAATAGAAGACAATCTCATTGACTTCAATGGGCTTTGGAACAGGCCTAAATTGCTTATTAAGAATATTCACAATTCCTTGCATATCCACTTCACTCAAATGGACTATGACATCAATACCTCGCCAACTGCCTTTTCAAGCATTTGAATAGTTTTGTAGTATGTACATTAATGAAGCAATGGTGGAAAGCTTTTGCTGCTAGTCCTGCACTCGTGGCTAAAGAGAGGTTTAATTCTCCAACACTGATGACCTGACGCTTTCAGTAATACTAAAATTCAGTTTAAAAAATTTAAAATTCTTTTGCAGTTCTCGGAGACCAAAAATCAAAACCAAACCATTAAGAACAGTGTTTAAAAAGGTTATGCACCTCTTGTCGGCTCCACACTTTGATATCAAATGGTTTTCAGTGATATGCTGCAATGCCCAATGTTCTGAGATCACGTAGAGAACTATCTGGGTGATGTGTGTGGGTTGACAGGAAAGCAGTTCCATTTCACAAACAAATTCAAGGTTTTGAAATTTGTTTTTGTTTCAATGCAGAATGAAATTGAGACTTTTAGCATTTTTTCTCGAGACCTATCCCAGAATAGCCAAAAGCCCCGTGGCCAGGGCACTTGTTGGGATATGGGAGACAAGGTTTTAGTACCTGCTCTGTCTCATTTGGTTCAGGGACTTGAACTTGGGTTTCCATCTTTCCAGGTGATTTCCCTGAGGTAGCCATTGGGCTATGGAGTCAGTTTCTCTCATCATCTTTTGTTGGAGCTGTTTCACTTCATATAAATAATTATTCATTGGGCCAGAGAAAGACACTGATTCCATAGTCCAGTGACCAGTTTAGGGCACTTGCCTGGGATGTGGGAGACCCTGATCTGAATCAGGCAGTGCAGGGACTTGATCCTGGGTCTCCTTCCTCCCAGGTGAATGCTCTGAACCACTAGGCTTTTGTCTATTCTAGGGTCGGTCAGTCGGTCTCTCCCGATTTGACGTGAAATTCCATCCTGAGCCCGAGAAACATTTTGGACAAACAGTTTTGTCAAAACAGGCACATTTCCATATTTTGGTTTCAACAAATCAGCTTTTTCGATGAAAAATTCTGGACCAGCTCTACTCCATAGCATATCTGCCAGTGAGTGAAAAAGGGTGGGTTTTCTAACAAAGCAATTTCCATAAACAATACAGGGGTTTTGAAAGAATTTTACCTCTGATTGAGATGCAAGGGTTTTCTACGTTCCCTTAAAGTACAACTTACAACTGAACCAGAGGGTTGTCAGAAAGAAAAGTGCAGTGAGGGTGTGTGGTAGGGAAGAGAAGGGAAATGTGAAAGCTTGATAGTATGAAAAAATTAATTCTCCTCTTGTCTTATAGAGTACTTACCATTCCATTATCCCTTGGGTGCATTTTTCCCCTTCCACAATCCACACCTCCATCCCATTCTCAAAAATGAAATTAGAAAGCAATAAATATAAGTTGAAGATTTTTGCTAAGTACATTTTCTATTTCTATAGTATTTTAAATACTAATGTTATTTCTCTTTTTTGAAACTCATTTTCACGTTACTGCGAGTGCTGATCATGTGGCTAGGATCAGTTTTAGACACGACAGCAAACTATTTAAATTTGATCCTCCCGTTCCCCTCCCTCCATTGTGGTGCACCTCTCTTTGCTTTAAGTGAAATGTACTCATTATTTATGGAAAAAATAGTATAACTAAACCAGGTGAATAGTTTGTTTTGTTTTAAAAGTAATGGGCCAAATTCTTAAGTTGGGTAAACTGACACGGATCCACTGAAGGCAATGTAAATACATCAAATTAGTCGAACAGAGGATGTGGCCCATATGTTAAAAACATCCAAAACAACAAATGTAGTCAATTTTGCTTCATGATTTTCTCATAGCTGCAATGAAATTGCTTTGCCATCATATTGACTTTGTTGATGAAATCCCACTTCAAGTGACTGGTGTATAAATACTCTGCAACTAAGTGTTTAAGTTAAGTAGCACATATTAAGAAGAGACTGCAGTTTTTCATGTCCAAAACATAACCATTTTTGTAGCTAAAATTTGTGGTTTTAAATTTTAAAGCCACCTATGAAAGTATATCCCACTCCTGATTTTTGACAACCAAAACCTTAAAACATATTTTACTCTTTGGAAAGCATTCTCTGTTAAAGCCAAGTGTATAAGGCTTGGTAGCTTAGGCTCGGTTTCAGGCTGATGCAGTTTGAAATAGCTGAGATATTAAACTTTAGAAAAGTCTGAATTTTTGAGAGTGTCATTCATTATGAAGGAGATATGGGCACCAGAGTAATACAAGCAAAAACCAATCAGAACTAACTGGCTACAATTATTTCACTCCTACAGGTTCTTCTACACAAACTTTTGAGACAGCCGGGCATGGAATTCAACTGTTATCTTTTTCTGGCCACTTTGGCCTATACAATCAGTCACGTTTTCACAGTGTGATCGCATATCAGCAGCAGTGTCTACACAAAAAATCACGTTTGGATGTATTTCGATCCAGCTACTGAGTAAGGACAAGTAAAGGTTAGTAGTAGGCTGCCCCTCACCAGCAACACCAGCAGTCACTATAGCAACAGCAGGAATAATAGGAGGAAGTTGGTATTGATCTTTCTATTCCCTGCTAACAGCATTCTTCAGCTTAGTCTTACACTATGTTGTTTACTGTACAATTGGCTACCATTGCAGAAGCAGTTCACACATCCCTGAGGTACAGAAGTTACCTGGAAACAATAGTGCTGAGAAGGCAAGAGGGGCATAAAAAAATCACTGAGTTCTGGTCAAAGCACCTAAATACAACAGACAGCAAAGCAAGCAGCACAAGAGCAATCTGAGGAGGTCAATAAGTGTAGTCTTATTTTACGTGCCCTCCATCTAGATTTCAAATTTCCAGTGCATTCTCCTTCCATCAATCTTAAGTATTTATAACAGGCAAGTCACAGCAGTAGCTGACCTAGGTGCCAAAAATGGAAGACGATTTGGCAAAGCCTGGTCTGTGCTCAGTGGAAGCCCATTACATCATGCAAGCACATTGTGGAATGGCACTGAGCCAAGAAAGATAGAGGAGACAGATTTCTTGCACCCATTGAAGAGACTTTCAAATTAACAATGGTGTAGCTACAGTGAGATTGGCACTCATATTAAAATAAATAAAAGACAACCAACTTCTAAGAGAGATTTTGGGTTAGACAGAGAAATCATCATTTATAACAAAAATGCCACATAATGTTGCGTACAATTGCCAAATCACAGCACAGTATGTTGTCAACATTCCTGTACGGTTTAGCTGCAAAATATTTTTCATGGGGCTCTCTGTGCTGGCAGTCTGTACGAAAGTAATAGATTGTAGCTGTCTGCATGACTTCATCCTCACCCTTAACATTTCTGGTTAGGATAAGCAAAGAAGGAAGAATGGTTTAAAATGTGGGAGGGAATTAGGAATGTTCTTCAGACCATTCCCCACTATATTTATAATCATTAAGGAATGAGCCAGAAGAGTTAAGAGAAGATGGTCCCTAGCTAAGAACAGTAGGCTGCTTATGTTGAAAAGAAAGAAGAAAAAATACTACTCTTGCAAGCCAGTAGATCCCTTTACCCTTAGGTACCCACTGCCTTACCCAGTTTTTGTAAACTGGTACAAGAATAACTCCATTGAAATCAATTACACTGGTATAACACTGTAGTAATGCAGTGGTATACTCAGCCATATATATCAAGAAACAGTCGAGTTTACAATAATTAGTTAAGAATCTTCACCTCATTAGAGTGATTATAAAAATCACACTAACACAACTTCAGGAAAATATACCACCACTGTTCCAACAATGCAAAGACAATGAAAACGTCAATTTCACTTTTAGTCAAGTTTATTTTATTTTTTTATGTATTAATTATATTTAAATGTTTACACTGAACAAAAAAGTATTGTACTTGGACAGCTAAACAATTATCAATACATTTAAAGCTTCTAAAAATGATGCCAAGATAATGATTATATCATAATCCAAACAAATTATAACAGTATATGATATTTAAGTGCTCTGGGAACTCTGTTAATAACAAGTCTCCCATCATAACTCAAAGAAGCAAAAAGCCATGGGTCTGCTGAGGACCATTCCACTGCATATACACTGTCTTCATGTTCTTCATAGGTAGCTATTATGCTGTCCTGAAGGGGCTCTTTAGTCCTGGAATAAAAATAGTAAAGAGCAGTGACTGTACCTGATTTATAAGGCACTATAAATGTCACAAACAAAGAAAGATATACAAGCCTTGATTTACTGTACAGCAGTGGACTCTGTGGACACACCGTTATACTCATGCCAACCACTAATGCTTAGATTTTATAAAATATAGCATGATCATGTCAATATTAAAATGGCCATTAGCAGAGAGTGGGGATTGTCATTTTCACTACCTAAAATGTCAGTTATTCACAGTTCAAGGAAGTTCTAGGTCTCATGGAAGAAACAACATATTGCCTACTCTAAGCACCTCCATGTTTTTAAAAAAATGTTATGTAAGCTACAGAGCATGACAAAAAAGCAAATCATTAAATAAATTTTTCCTCAGATTAACATATGGTCTAACTCAAACTCACCTCCCCCAGATTTTTATCCTTTTATTTATTTGTTTGTTAGGTGAATTTTGAATCTGTCAAAACTAGCTTTATGGCTGAATGCACAATGTAAACAACTAAGGGACATAACTCAATCTGACCCTGAGTGCCTTTTGATGCAGTGGGCCTGATCCTGCAGTCCTTACTCAGGCAAAGTTCCCATGGGAGTGCTGCAGAATTGGGCACATAATCTCAAGAGCGGTGGAAGACACCATATTAACCTCGTCTCCTGTCCATTCCACAGAAGTATAATATTGGCTCCAATGGAGAAGCTTTCTTGTTTTTTTACCTTATATATCACCTAACACCTTTGAGCACATGGTAATTGAGTGTTAAGAGACAAATATAGTCTTTTATACCACAAATGTTTAAAAATCGATGCACATAATTATTTAATTTCCAAAGTACACAATATGGATTGATAGTATGATACTAGCAATGCACTCTCCATTTCTTCCAATCCCTTTTTCTATCAGATGGTACTTCAGTACGTTATTCTGTGGGTTGGTGGGTATTGAGTTTTCAGCGGATGACGTCAGATTTCTCTCCTGTCTGATGAAAATCAGTGAAGCTTTCAGAAGCATCTCCCTACCTCCCAGAAACAGACTTATATTACAGCTGCCATCCTCCTACCAGAAGGATATGACAGGGAACCCTATGAATGCTACTCAATCACTTCACGGATACAGCTATGATAGAAATGAAGTGTTGTTGGCTGCCTCTGCCCTTTTCCACTAGTCTCCCAGTGTTCAAAGCATGAATCTCTTCAACAACAAAAGTAAAAACAAATCTGGTACTGAATTTGTATGGCTTGCAGGACTGCACGTAGTATTATTGCTGGTGCACCTAACCAGCCCAACCAGCTGTGAATTTAATATCACAATTAAATTTAAATTCAATTCAATAATTAATGCAACTCTCTAATAACTGCAGTGTGATTTCTGATGTTTGGTTTCAAGGACCATCATCTTTTACTTATACTATTTCAGGGAAACTACCATAAATGACACAGAAGAGACGACATACAGCTTATTGGTTAACTGTGAAGAGTAGGATGTATGCTGCAGAACTCCTGAAAGTGTACTTTGATACACTCCATCTAATAACAGATCTACTAAGCCCACAATGCACATTTCATCTCCTCTATAGTGTTTTCTGACTTCTTAAATGACACGGCTGGTTAAGAAAAAGTTGGTCATGTCCCCAGATAGCAATGTGTCTCACGCAATGCTCACCCACTTATCCAAAACTCCATTATTCTGAAGGTTTCAGATGTCTCTTTGGATAAGCAGGGGAGCAATGCATGGTGCATATTGCTGTCAAGGGACGTGACCGACTTTCAGTTAACCAAGAGTCTCAGTTAACAAGAGGCTGGATAAACAGGGATGGATAAACTGCTAGTTTACACTCTTTTCTGTATGCAAGATATGACTTTGGTGTATCAATTCAAATAATATATTTTGTATAGTTTAATATAAAAAAGGAGGATTGTATGTTCAGGAAAGAATCTTGAATTAGCAGATGAACTACTGTTCTGCATTTCACTTCAACTCTTCTATTTTGAACCCTCCTTTATTGTTCCATCTTTGATGAATTTCCCATTGAGGATTAAAAGTAACCTGGTAGTATTCCTTAAGGAGAGCATATTATTAAAAATAATTCAGACCACATGAGCTCAGGACTAGACATGGTAGCATTTTACAGTTTCTTCCTCCATAATGTAGGCCTGGCCCAGGGACATCTCTATTAAGGAGCTGAAGGAGGCATAACATATGGATCTCTTACATAAAAGACTAGATAATATACAAGATATTCAGGCAAACATTGAACACAGGATGAAAATTACTGCAGGGACAGCACAAAAGGTCCACTAGAAACTTACTTCCACTATTAACCTTGGAGATATTGTACATGCTCTGATGAAAGAAAGTAAGAAATTATCCTTTAAATTGTGCTACCTGGATAATTTTCCCAACGGGGATGCACCAGTATAGACAGTAGCAGAATAATGACGGATATATCTGAAAAGTGGGGGTGCCAAAGGAAGAAGAAATCAGAACAAAAGAAGTTTGCTTTTCACACGAGAAATCTCTTGGTGAACGATCATTTTATCCCTTGCTCAGAGACATCCAAATAAAATGTTTGCTGGGTATCCTGTGCCTTGTATTATTTTGGTAACCCAAGAATCCCAGAGGATATGCAATTTGATACTATGTAAAGCTAGGCTGCTTACAGAGCTTCAGTTTCAGAATCCTAAAACAGAGTTGACAATCAGTTTTATGCAGACTGAGAAGCAGCTGAGACCACCATATATCGAATACTGTTTGGGTCACCTAGTAAGGTTTAGGCTGGGCCGGTTGGACAAAATTTACTTCAGCCAAGGAAATTGATGTTTTCATAGATAGTAAGCAAAGTTAGTGGTCAAGTGGTTTGTCAAGAAAACCATAGATAAATCAAGATTTAGATACAAACTTTTATTTATCTAAGAGTATGTCTACATGTACAGCGCTGCAGCGGCACAGCTGTACCAATGCAGCTGCCCCACTGCAGCACGGATGGTGAAGATGCTCTATGCTGATAGGAAAGAGCTCTCCCGTTGGCATAAAAAACCCATCTCCGTGAGCGGCATAAGCTATGTCGGTGGGAGAAGCTCTCTTGCTGACAGTGCTGTGCACACAAACACTTATGTCAGTGTAACTTATGTTGCTCGGGGGGTGTGTGGGGGAAAAATATTCACCCCCGTGAGTAACATAAGTTTTGACGACATAGGCCGTAGTGTAGACATAGCCTAAATCTGCTCTTTAACTGTTTATATCAGAGTGCATTTAACAATGTTTCTATATTTCATTATCTATTACAGCTTTATTATTCCCTGGCATAGCAATAAACAGCATCATGCTTCAGTCTGCAATTGCTGATTAACTCTTATGAGAATGTTTAACTGCTTTCTTCAAAAGTTTTCATGATTAAAAGGAATATTACCTGTGATATGGTTGATCTAGTACACCAGAGGTTTAGATCCCCGGCTTGCTGCTTTCTTGGAAGAGTAATCTGGCAGGATTATATTCTGGGTTTATGTGTTTAAGAAACAAGCAGGACATTATTTCTTCCTTGTAATAAATTTTCCTGAAAAAGTTGCTTTAGTGTCAACTTTTTTTAAAATATCATTTTAAGAGCTTCTTCTGAGCAGACACATCTACTTGCCTATCTGTTTATCTAGGTTCTTGTACTGCATCCATCACCATCAAAATATGTATCTATCTATATCTATATCTCCTGCACATCTTTGAGATCTGTGTCAGAGCTGGAACAGGGCTTTTTCTCCTTTTGTTATCCTATTTATATAGCATGACCGCCATTAGCTTCTCCCATGAAAGGAGGGGAACTTTCATTTGACTAAATAACTTTGAGGTTAACTGTATTACAATCTTGTAAGAGAAGCCTGTTTAGCTTTTGGATAATTGTTTTCATGTAGAGTGCTGTTACTTCAAATTACTGTCCATGCTAACAATCACTTAGGTTTGCAGTGCTTGTGATTCCATATTGTCATCAAAAACTTCAATAAAAAGAAAGCTTAAAAAACGAGCCATCAGAAATCATTAATTCTCCATCGGAACTAAAGTTAAATCTTGTTCAACCTAAAAATTGTTTAGAAATAAACCCAACCCAGTAGAGCGGCAACAATATACAGCAGGGGTGCCCAAAGTGCGGCCTGAGGGGCAAGCATGCCCCACAGAGTTCTAAAATGCACCCCGCAGATACCCTCTCCCTGTAACTGCAGGGTAGAGCTGATCAGCTGCAGGATTTTATTGCTGGTAAACTCAACCAACATGGTATTTTTGTTGCTCTGTTAAGGAAGATACAAGTCTTAGCAAATATTATGGCTGTGTGAATTTATCTGATTTTATAAAATTCCATCCAAATTTATATGCAAATTAGGGACAGCCTTCAGTTTCCTGTAGATTTCCAATTTGGCCCTCATCACAGCCAATTTTGACAGCCTCAAAAATACAAACATATCAGCTGAATAATACTCCTAGTCGAGCTTATTTTTAGATTACTTGTATGGGAAAGGATCAAGGATTTTTAACCATTCATGCAATAGAAAGACCGGTCATTTTCTCACATTAATAAAACCTCAATCTCTCCAACAGAAACACATCTTTAAAACACTCAAAATCTGTATTTTAAAATAGATTGGCATTGGTGGTTAAATATGATATATTTACTAACTTGAATGAAGAAATTAATAGGAAATAATTATACATTTGTTAAAGACAAAACAATGTAAGAATGGGAAATTGCTGTTTTGTTGGATTTGACCTAGTTTCTCAGACACCCTACCAACAAAGCCCCAACCACAGATTCTCCCACAAAGCATTCACATAAGCAGCTTTAATTAAGTCACTTTGTTGGGTGATGCTACACTGTAATCTTACGATTTCTGTGTCTCTGCCTCTTATGGGGTTTCTCTCAGATGGAAGAACTGCTGAGTCATCGGTCTAGGTTTGTATTGTTGGTGGAATTTTCTCTTTGGCGCAGGTGTATATATTCCCAGGAATAGAGGGT